GAATTTTTCAAACCGAGCTTTAAAAACCCCTAGGTCTCGCGTGCGCGCAAATGAATACTTACTTCGGGATACTGTTGGCATCTGATTAACTCGGCAACCAAATTGGGCAGGAAGCAGTTTTTTTCTGAGGCAGTGCAAGGCAGTGCAGGCGACTACTCTAGGGAATGGAATCATGCAAAAACGTATGATCACACTGGCAGGCTTGATGGGCCGTTACCCAGGTGTTTTCATCCTGTTCTTCGCATTTTACTATTTCTTTCATGTTATTCATTTTCTTCGGTTAATTATTGCTTGTATAAAGCGTATCATGCTTTGTTGCTTTGATCAACTGCATTAATAGCATAGTTTTTCAAATTGGCAATTCTTTCACTTGTTTTGATCAGTGCTCTGACTTCTGGTGGCTAACCTGTGAGTAATCAATTTTTGAAGCGTTCCATAATTTAAATGAAACGTCGGTAGGTCCAAAAAATTTTGCGGCTAGATTGGACGTAAAAATTCCTGATTACATACCGACACATATACATGTGTCGGTAGCTCGGTAGCTCAAAAAAATTTTATATATATATACATATATATATATATATATATATATATATAATGAAACTCATTTGTTTGTTGACATTTCTCGCTGCGTTTAACAATTTCTGAAAATAAGTAAATTTTACGAGCTGATGTATCGGCATATTTCAGGGTGCGGAGTTGAGGGTATTCACTATAGCAAGTTCTCAGGCATGCGCCCAAGCAGATGAAAAGAAAATGGCTGCTCTACTAAGCAAATTTCGGATACCATTTACGGACGTACGGGTAATCGCTGATATTGCTCGTGAACCTCATCCTTCTACGTTCGTTGACTTTCTTCTATCATATATAGCACTAGTTGCTGAAGAGCAAAGGAATATCTTGGCGTTGAAGCGAAAGAGGAAATTGCTGAGATACCGCATCATTGTCAAAATATTTGTTGGTAACAATAAAGTCAAATTCCCTCCGCGTTCATTCTCAATGACAAGCGAATCATTCGGGGATATTCTAGAAAGAAAAGCAAATGCTAGCAGTAACCACTCGCTAGCACGACTGTCGACTGCTCTTTCTTTCGAGGGTTGCTTAGAAGCAGACTAATGGTGGGTTCGACTCACCGGTAGAGGTCAATAGTAGTTTACTATCAAACGGAGTCGTTGATACGATGTATGAACTGATGCACATTCCTGTAAATTTTAAATGTACGGGAACTAAAATCTTATA